AGAGAGAGAGAGAGAGAGAGAGAGAGAGAGAGAGAGAGAGAGAGAGAGAGACAACAAAGGGTCCCCTTCACGTCAATTCGAAGGCCCCTGCAGGTGCCTCGAATGGCTCCTACAGTACATGCAGAGCCATTGTCGCCCACTGCTTCAACGAGAAGGATGGCCTCGTGATGTGTGGAAGAGATGGGGGCAGACCACCAATATATGCTGTGGACTCGAGTTCAGGGATGCAGCTCGGCAGTTATGGGTCACGAATTCAGCTAGACCCTGTTCATGTCTCCACGTGATTCTCAGGGCCTCCCTTCGCCGCACATGATTCTCAGGGCCCCACTAGACCTCGGTAAAACATGGAACCATACACCGCCATATGCTGTCTTTTGTGCATTTGATAAGTAGTGGAACAGGCCCCACTGGACGTATTTGTAAGGAAAAAAAAACAAAAAAACGAGAGAGCCACGGGCATCTTCATCCTAAGTTCCTAACCCATAACTGCCGACATGCAGACCTGAACGCCAATCTTCAGCATATATTGGTGGTCGGCTCACAATGGAAAACGTAACTTGTGACATCTGCGAAGCTTTGCGGGACAGGTCGTTATTAGGCAACTACCCCTTCTTGCGAACTTACCCCACCACTGTGTGGGATTTGCAGAAGGGAGCGGGAAGGACAGCTCCCATACCCCGCCTAAGAAAAAAGTGGGAATGAGCCCTATTTTTTACTTCCCCATTCTGAAACGTTTGGCCCTAAGAAAGTACAAACCCCTACCTCTCTTTTTTTTTTTTTTTTTTGGAGCTAATTTTTCCAGTGCGCTGCGCTTCGGTGCGCTGTGCGGTGCGCAATTCGTGCACAAATCTGTGCACCGAGGTGCGCCGCAACTATGGGATAAACATATGATAGGAACGCGTACTTGTACAGAAAAGAACAGGACTGTCTCCGAGCGCCATGTCCCGGAGTGGTAAGCTACTCTATCCTAGTTCTGCACAAATTGTCTGACAAGACAGGCCGTCAACTGCAAAATTTTCCAGGACCTTGACAAACAGGGCTACCGGGTAACCCTTCCTCTGATAAGCCAACTTCAGAAGAATGACTTGGACCGGGATCTTTGCACGAATCGAAGTATTCCGGTCGATCCGATGTAACCATGTTGTGGCAGCTTTTTGGCTTTGTGAGGACCAAGACCCAAAGTCTTGGCCTGCTCCGATTGTCAGTGGCAACCCTCTCTTCAGGTCTTCTTCATTATGGATTAGCTGAAAGCACGCAAGGAACGGAGGCTTGGTCCAGATTTCCAGCGCGCACCCCAAAAATTCCCAACAGTGAAAAAAAACCAAAAAAAAAAAAAACAAACGAAAAACAATGGAGAAGGGCGAAGAAGAAGAAGAAGAAAAACGAAAAAACCTCTCTCTCTCTCTCTCTCTCTCTCTCTCTCTCTCTCTCTCTCTCT